TTATCCCCATCTCTTTTCACCAGACCCCTCTAGACAAGATGACAGCTATTCAGTGGGGACTCTTTCTTTCCCACTATACTCTCAAACTAAACTCCCTCTTTGTAAGCCAGTCACTTCGTGCCTTTATTGCCCCCTAATTTTAGGTAGCCAGTGTCTAAGTTGCCTGTCCCTATCTACCCTGTGTACAGAGAGGATAGCACTGATACTTGATGTGAAGACTCTTTCCCTCTCTGTTGGTATTTAGAGTAACTACCGCTCTGAGTATAGGTTAGGTTCATCAGATTGAAGCAATTTACCCATGTTTCCTTTATCCACACACACACACACACAAATAATAATAATGTTTTTTTTCAATCTTCCTCTAGTTGAATTCTGATTATCGAGCCATCGAGGCTAGGTCAAAATGGTAATGTATGCAAGTTTGGGTGTTCTTTTGCATCTCCCCTTACTCATATCAACTGGATGCTTCACTCTCAGCTCTAGCCCTCTGTGGCTAAGTCCTTGTCCATGGACTCAAGTGTCCTCAGGTCTTACGACACTTTGGGCCAAACAGCCCTTCCTCTTCTCTCTCTCATCTCCAGGGTCAATAGGATTCAATGGACTGGGGTTGAACTCAGCCCATTTCTTCTTTGTTGAGTTTCTGCCTCTTCCACTGACCAGTAGACCAGTGTGGTTGCCAGCAAGCTTACATGCTTGTTTGTGTATTCCCTTTGAGTGTCAGTCTTAGAGGGCACTTTGTCCTGAAGACACTTGATTGCTAGCCTTGATGACTTCCAGGCGAGCAGCTTGCTTATTCTTTTTTTTTGTTTTTTAATGTTTTATTGTGAATTATGTGGTAGTTTACATGGGAGAACATTAGTTTTACATTTATCCTATCGTATATCGTTTCATTGCATGGTTACAATCCCTACCATGCATCATCAACCAACCAAAGGGTATACACTACAAGCCTGCCACCCCCAGTCGTCAGCACATAGCCCCTTTTCCTCTCTGTGACAGCTTGCTTATTCTTGTAGTAGCAAGTTATGCTGACATTTTTGTTTTGGGTTTTTCCTGGTGATCTTTCTTTGAAGATGTATCTTCTGTCACTGTACCTGTTCCAGTCTGCTTGTCCTTTCTAGTGGGAATGTCCCACCTCATAAGGTTCTGGATGGGACTCAGGATTCTATCTAAGTTCCTATACTTTGTAAAGGCTTCTGCATGAGGCCTAGTTCACTGGGCAAGTTGTAGAACCTCTTTTAAGTATTTCAATCAGTTATAGGCAGAAGACAGGCTTACAAGTTTTCTCTAAACATGTTTCCCAACATTCCTTTCTATCCCACTCAAGTGTCTCTTTTACAATAGTAGGCAAGGGAAACTAATATTCATAAGGCAGTCAAGGATTTTAGTATTATTTACCTTCTTCAAGCTATACCTAGATCCTTGTATCCCAGAGCCCTGTTCCAAGGTTGAGCATGCATCACTATTTACCTCTGTCCCATTAGGCCATGCAAACCTGTCTCAGTGTTTCCCTATCTATTTTGTTCTTCTGCCTCCTCCCCCTTCTTGTATTGCCCTCCCCAGCACCCAAACTAAACCCCCAACCCCATTGTGGTTACCTTATATTCCATTAGTTCTTCCCTCCATTTAAGACAGTCTATTTTATCCTGTAATCTACCTGACCTTCGCACCACCTGGATCTGTGTTCTTCTGTGTTTATCTTCTTTCACATTGTAATTGTTTTGATCATAGACTGACCTCCCAGATCTTCTGTTCTTATCATTTTATTCTGTTCTTGACTCTTCCATTTGTCAATTGAGTTCAGGGTGATGCTGCCACGTACGTCATTCTGTAGTTGTTGTCTGTTCTTGTTGGTTCTCAGTCCACAGAACTTCCTTTAGGATGTTTTTCATAGCAGGGTTGGCTTTGGCAAAATCCCTTAGCTTCTGTTTATCCTGGAATGTTTTGATTACACCATCGTATTTGATTGACAGCTTTGCCTGGTAGAGGATTCTTGAATGGCAGTTTTTTTCTTTCAGGGTTTTATATACATCTCCCTATTGCCTTCTTGCCTGCATGGTTTCTGTTGAGAAATCTGAGCTTAATCTGATTTGCTTGCCTTTGTATGTTACACATCTGTTTTCCCTAGCTGCTTTCAAGATCCTGTCCTTATCTTTGATTTTGGAGAGCTTGATTATTATATGTCTTGGTGATTGTGTTTTAGGGTCTATGCATCCTGGGGTTCGTTGAGCTTCTTGAATGCTTATCTTTTTGCTTTTCCTGATGTTAGGAAAATTTTCTTCCAGAAGCTCTTCAACTATCTCCTCTGTGGACTTGTGTGATTGTTCCTGTTCTGGAATGCCAATAATTCTTAACTTATTCCTCTTCATGTTGTCCAACATGAATCTTAGGCCTTCTTCAGATTTTTTTTAATCCTTTTTTTTTGTGTTTGTTCTTCTATCTTAGTAGTGTTGAAAGATTTAGCTTCTAGCTCACTAGTTCTGACTCTTGTCTCTTCAATTCTGATATTCTATTATTAATCATTTGGACCTCTTTCTGTAGGCTTTGAATTGTTTCCAGTGTTGTGTCTATCTTATTGGATTGTTCCTGTAGCGCTTTCCTGACTTCTTCCTCATTTTTCTCAACTCCATTATATAGTGTTTTGATACATTTTATAATAATTTTTCTGAATTCCTTCTCAGGCATTTCCAAAGCCTGCCCATCTACCAGTCTGGAGTGTAGGTCTACTTCCAGCTCATTTGCCTTAGTCACTTTATCTTGTTTCTGGACATGTGCAGATATGGTCATCTGCTTCTATTTTTTGGGAATATTCGGGGGTTATTTGTGGCCTTAATACTTAGATGGGTGTGTATTTTGGTATTTTTATGCTTTCTGATTGCCTCCAGGTAGATGTGATCAGGAAATGGGCTTCCCTTTTCACTATTCTTCTTGAGAAATTTCAAGATGCCACTGTTGGTCTTTTTGACATAATTTAGGATTTAATTTTTAGCCTATTTCCTTTTTAGTCTGCCTGTCCCGCTCCACAATGCCTGTTCAGGCCTTTTTTTCTAGTTATAAACAGTTCAGGGCCAGCTGTGGCTGTTTGGTTTTAAGTGGAAACTATCTCTTTAAATTTTGAGGAGATCTGTGCGCATGCGTAGTAGAAGCCTCCGAGGGTGGGGCTGGGGTGTTCGCTAGGTCAGGCACCCCTATAGTCACCAGAATGGAGGTACGCAGACAGCAAGGAACCAATGAACAGATACCAAAAGAAAAGAATGTCCATGCCTTTATTTCCTCGGTTCTGTCAGGCATGCATGGCTGCTCTGATCCTTCCCCCGCTTGGTCTCACCCAAGAGGGCGGCTCCTCAAGCAGCTGAGCATCTTGAATTAGAAAGCAATGGATTTCTTGCTTCTGTTACAAATTCTCGTAGCTGTAAGCCTTCCAACCTTCTAAATATTCCTTTATATGTGGTTCAGAGTTCTGGGACCATCCCCTGAGCCTGCTTGGTCCTGTATTCTGTGTTGTTGCTAATGGAACTCCTTACTGCACTTCCACTTGATCTGCCATCTTGTTTGTTCTCATTCCACTCAATTTTTTAATGAATTCCAATTGTCCTTGCTTTATACTTCATGCATTCCATGTTCTGATTACTAATGGGTGCTTGCAGTTGTTTCTTCTCACGTTGAATCATGCTACATCAACATAGAAGGCTTTTGCTCCTGAAGGCTTTACTCCATCCAATCCATGAGGTCAATTTTACTCTGAAGAGGCAGTGCTTTCCAGTTGTATTACAAGTTCTTCCAGCAGAGGTGCTCATCTTCCAGCACAATATTTTGTTGTGATCCATAAGCTTTGCAATGAATGATATTTAGAATTAGACTGCCAGCCTTCTAGTTTTATTTTAGTCTGGAAGCTCTGCTAAAGCCTGCCCACCATGGGTGACTCTACTGGTGTTTGAAATACTGATAGCACAGCTTCTAGCATTAAGTAACACACAAACCATCACAGTAGGACAGCTTGGCAGATGGGTGCTGGGTTTCTAAGTATAGTACCCAACAAATGGTTGAGTAAATTGGTTAATTGAGTGGATTCTTTGTATTATAGTGACCAAGCCAATTGAGACTGAAATACCTTTGGCTGCAGGAGAACTCATTTAGAAGTACAGCAGGAATCAAATTGAGCCAGACATGGATGTTCACACACCTTCTGTGGTGCTGTGGGATAATGCACAAGGACCACAAGGTTGGCGGTTCAAATTCACCAGCCTCAGATTGGAAACTACATAGGGTTGCTATGAGTCAGAACTGACTCAATGGCACTTAACAACATCACCATTTCCTATTTTACACGTTGGTTATTTCAGTGCTCTTTCATATTCATTTAAGTTTCATAATAATCCTGTGAGGGAGACAGAGCAGAAACTGTTATTGGATTTTATGGATGAGAAACTTGGATCATGGAATTTGAGGCCTGACTAAGTCATGTAGATACCAACAACAGACATGGGACTTCAACTGAAATTTCTGGATTCCTGTTTTGGGGCCTGGAAGCTCTAGGTTAACTGAACTCTTATCTCCGTGTCCCACAGACTTGGAGCTGACATCTGCGCTGTCCTCCGGCTGTCTGGGCCGCTCAAGTTGCAATATGCTAAGGTAGGTGGTGCCTCTGTGGCTTCTGCTGGTTGGGAGGAGCTGTGGCTATCCCTTGAGCCACTGGCATGACTCTGGTGACCACTGTGGGCAGGGGTTGGTCAGCTCTTGGTTTTCTGTGGGTACATCTCTCTGGGGCATAGACAGTCCCAGTTTCTTTCTCCATGGCCTCATTGAGTTCAGGCCACCTCCCCAGGGTATTTAAGAAAGTGTGTCCAGAAAAGGTTTAGGGTGGTAGCTGCTGATGTGGTATAATTAGTAAGGGTCTGTGCGCATCCAGTGACTTAAAACATGTGATACTCATGTGACCACCACCACCTTCCCAAATCAAACCAAACAAAACTGACCAGATAAAACCCTTGGAATGCTCTCCTTAGAAATTTAGACACATAAGTTGTCAAGATTAACTGTGAAATGAAAACAAACAAGATGTGGTGGTGATGGTGGTAGTTGTGTGCTGTGGAGTCGGTTCCGACTCTTAGTGACCCTGCATAGGGTTTCCGAGGCATAAATCTTTACAGGAGCAGAAAGCCTCATCTTTCTGCGGAATGGCATATAGTATCCAACTGCTGACCTTGAGGTTAGCAGCCTGACTCGTAACTACTACGCTACCAGAGAATGCTACATTTGTATTTATAAAAAAAAAAAAAGAACTCATGTTTACTTGTGTAGTCATTCATTTATGGGTGTCCTCATTGTGTTAGCTGTTCGTCCTGGTACCTGGGATGCGGATATGCTTTGGAAGGATAGTAGGGAATGTAGCATTGATTGCTTCCAGGGAGGGGAACTAGACCCTGGGGAACAGAGATGGGAGAGGTTTTTAATTGTATATGGATGTGTGTTTCTTGGATTTGAAATCATGTGACTGGTTCAAACTAAATTTTTTTCAAAATCGATAGGAACTTTTCCAATTGGACCGTACTTGGGCTTCAGATAGGGAACCTGGAGGGTAAGATCAGCTTCCCACTTAGGAAAGAGTCCCCTAGTCACCTGTGTCCTGTCTTTGCCTCTAGTGCATCCTGCAGGGACCTATGGTGGCAGGTCCCTCTGTCGGTCAGTTGGCTTAAGGCTGTCCCTCTGGGGTCTGTCCCTCTTTGACAAGACAGCCCTGCCACTGTGGGAGGCATTCTCGCATCCTATTTGGATTTTCTCTCACTAGCTAAACAGACTCACTTCCAGGATGACAGCCTGCTGAAGCCTGAGGGACCGTGGAGATAAATAGGCTTAGTGTTTTTCAAACATTTTCAGCAAGAACCTTTTCCAAATGAAACTGGATGCCTAAGACCCTTGTGTTCTGTAAGCAGATTGGGAGCTACTCTGAGTGGGGGAAGGAGGAGAGGAGAGAGGAAGAGAGGCTGTTTAGTCTTTCCAGTGGGACTTGGGAACCCCTGTGGAACCCCAAGGCTCCAAGGAGATGTTTGAAACCATAGTCTACTTCCAAAGTTTCCAGATTAGGCCCCACTCCAGATCTACAGAATCAGAATTTCTGGGAAGGGGAGGGCCCAGAAGTTTGTATTCTAAAAACCTCCTTAGGAGACTCTGACAAGGCCAGACACCCTGGTTGCTTGGAAGTTCAGCACTGCTCCATCCCCCCACTCCCATTCAAAAGCAAAACCCAAATGAAATGTCAACTCACTGTGGGAAATAGAACTGACAAGCAGACCCTAATGGCCTGTCCTTCCCCTATGGCCAAGAGTACATGGGGGTACCAGTTTATAAGTGGGAAGTGGCTGCCCACTCCAGCAGGGGAAGCAGATAGGGAGTCTTAGGGGCTGGGTCACACCCAATGCTGGTTTGCAGAGGAAGAAACTGAGTAGCTGAAGGCAGAGGGTCTGCTGTAGTGAGTTAGGAGGGCTGGCCCCTGAATCAGGTGACAGTTTCCAGACCCCCATCTTCTAGATGGACCCCTCCTGCTTGTCATTGTCTCTGGAGAAGGGAGGCTAGGTCTGGAAGCATCCCAGCTGCTCACCTGAGGAGTCCCCTGGAGGTGGAAGGCACAGAGTAGAAGGTAGCAAAAATACCAGGAATTTGAGGATGGGGGTGAGGATGAGGGAGAGGAGAGAGAGAGGGAAGTGAAATCTCCTGGGCTTTTGGATCAGGGAAAATGCCAGAAGGGGTGTGGGAGGACATGGAACACAATTTTTTCAGATTTACCACTTTAGTTGAAGGCTTAGCCTGTGCCCAGGGGATGCAAACTAATTTCAGGATTAGTTTAAGCCAGAGATAATTGGGAAGCAAAACTGATGCAAAAGAGAAAAGCACAATCACACATTTCAAAGACAAATTGAAAGAATTTCTGGATTATTGTAGACCTTTCCTCCATTTGAGAGTGATTGGGATTCTTACTTTCTAGGGCTTTCTCCCTTGCCTCTGAACTGGCTGAGACTTCATGAGTTCTTGCATTGTCCCCTGGGGTTAGGGAGGGCAGGACTGGTTCTGAGAAGACACAGAGGGCTTGAGAGGTGGGTGACAAAGAGTGTGCTTTGGGCAGGACCATGGCCTGGACTTTCAGAGACTCCTGGATGCCAGTGTTTACAAGGAGACCTATCGGAAGAACATGATCAACTGGGGAGAGGAAAAGCGCCAGGCCGACCCAGGCTTCTTCTGCAGGAAGGCTGTGGAGGGCGTCTCCCAGCCCCTCTGGGTAAGAGGACTCCAGCGCAGCATTAAGAAACCTGTGTGGACTGCTCTTTCTTTCCCTCTTCACCTGGTTAGTTCTGGCTCAGCTTAAATGTTGTCTCCTCAGGGAAAACTGATACCCAAGGCTTAAGCAGTACTTCCATAGCACCCTGCCCTTTGGCTTCTTCTTTCATTTTGACAGTAAATACTGAGTATCTACTTATGCCAGGCATGGTTCTGGGTTCTGGGGATACATCAGTGCACAAATGTGATGAAGTCCCTGCTCTCGGGGAGCTTACATTAATAGCTAGGATAAGTTGGGGGAGATAGGCACCAAGTAAGTAAATATAGATTTTGTCAGTCGGCCAGCTAATCGCTTGTTGAGTCCATTCTGACTCCTCGTGACTCCACATGAGAGTAGAACTGTGCTCCATCAGATTTTCAGTGTTGTGACCTTTCTGAAGTAGAGTGCTAGACCTGTTTTCCAAAATGCCTTTGTGTGGATTTGAACCACCAACATTTCAATTAGTAGTTGAGTACTCAACTGTTTTGCACCTCCCAGAGATAAATAATAAGGAGCTAAGGAATTAGGCTAAGCGTGAGAGTAGGGCTGGCGAAGAGTTGCTGTTTTGTCAGGTGTCAGGGAAGGCCTTACTGGTACTAAGACGTCTGAGCAGGATCTGAAGGAAGGAAGCCGAATAGAAATTTGGGAAGCCAGCTTTCCAGAAAGAAGGAACAGTGAGTACAAAGGCCCTGATTCAATGTCCTTCTTTGAAGAAGATCCAGGGGCCCAATGTGGGTGATGGAGTGGTGGGAACTGAGGTCAGATCATGCAGGACCTTTGGAAAGATTTTGCATGTTTTAAGATTTTAAATTATTTAAGATTTTAAAGGCTGGCCCTGGCTGCTGGGTGGTGGGCGAGAGTGGGAACAGAGAGGCCTGGTTAGAGGCTGTTTCTGTAAAGTAGGCAAGAAGAAGACTGGCCCGGCTCAGGGCCTAGTGGAATGTAGAGAAGTGGCTAGATTCTGCATAGGTTTTGACAATAGAGCCAATAGAATTTGCTGATGGACTGGCCATGGGGTGCAAGGACAAAGATTTTGTTTGAGCATCTGGACAAATTGAGCTGTCATTTTCTGAGTGAGGGAATAAGTGTGAGGAGCAGGTCTGAAGGGAAATCAGGAGCTCCGTCTTGGCCAGGCTGAGATTGAGATGCTGGTGAATACATCCTGTGATTGCAGTTATTTGTGAGGCTGCTTGTTTAGCATCTCTCCCACTGGACCATAAACTTCATGAGTGTAGGGACCAGGCCTGCTTTGCTCAACTCTGTTCTAAACACCTAGCACACAGTAGGTGCTTGCAGAGTCCTTGTTTAGTAATTGGGTGAATGAGCATGGCAGCAGTTTAATGAGCTAATAAGGCTTATTCATTGAAAGATTAATTGAGTGAACATATATACTATTGTTGTTATTAAGTGCTGTCGAGTCAGTTCCAACTCATAGTGACCCTGTATAGGATTTCTGAGGAGTGGTTGTTAGGTTTGAATTGTTGACCTTGCAGTTCAAACTGACCTTGCAGCCCAGTGCTCACCCTACAGTGCTACACCAGGACTCCATATACTAACTTGTTGTTGTTGTTGTTGTTTTTATGTGCCGTGGAGTCGGTTCTAACTCATAGTGACCCTGCATAGGGTTTCCAAGGCTGTAAATCTTTACAGGAGCAAAAAGCCTCATCTTTCGCCCACGGAACAGCTGGTAGTTTCGAACTGCTGTCCTTGCGGTTCGCAGCCTGATTTGTAACTACTATGCTACCAGTGCCATCAATAAGATTCTGACCCATAGCGACCCTGTATAGGGTTTCCAAGGAGCAGCTGGTAAGCTTGAACTGCCGACTTTGAAGTTCAAACAGCTTTGAGCATTAACCCACAGTGACACACCAGGACTCCATATACTAACTGTTGTTGTTGTTATGTGCTATGGAGTTGGTTCCGACTCATAGCGACCCTGTACAAGGTTTCTGAGGCTGTAAATCTTTACAGGAGCAGAAAGCCTCATCTTTCTCCCACGGAACTGCTGGTAGTTTCGAACTGCCGACCTTGAGGTTAGCAGCCCGATTCGTAACCACTATGCTACCAGAGCTCCTTATATACTAACTAGTGAATGGTTATTATGTGTCAGGTTCTGGTAGGATAGACAGACAATAAATACACAATAAGGAGCAGGTGCTGCCTTGAGGAAGGAGGGCATGTTGGTGACTGGGGCTGACTGGGTGGGCTGCTCGCTGCTCTGGGCTACAGGGCCTTGTGCTCCTGCTGCTTCCAGGTGGGGTTGGCTCTGCCCCTCCTCCTTCCTTACCCTCTTGTCTGACCTGCATCATGTCATTTGTCTGTCCCTCACTGCAGCTGGTGAGTGACGCACGGCGGATGTCCGACATCCAGTGGTTTCAGGAGACTTATGGGACTGTGGTGCAGACAGTCCGCGTGGTGGCTTCGGAGCAGAGCCGGCAGCAACGCGGCTGGGTGTTTACTCCTGGTGAGCCACTCACAACCTTTGTTCCCCGAGGCTGGACCTGTAGGTTGGTCACCCCACCTGTAGGGTACAGGTCACCAGCCCCCATACTCTGGGCATTCTGTTCTCTCCTGGCATGCCTGGGTGGGGGTGTGAGTGAGGGATTACGAAATGGAGCCTGAGGCCTGGGGCTGAAGAATGCTGGGCCTCCAGATTAGGGGGAGGGGGTGGGTATCCTTGGGGGGATAAAAGTCTGCTGATCTTGGCCTGGGACCCTTACCTGGGTTGGTGGGCTTCACTGGAAGTCTGACTGGGACCCACCTCCTTGGTCTTTCACCTGTGCTTTCCAGCCTGGCGGGGGCTGACGGTGCTCAGAGGATAGGGCTGACTAGTGTCACTCTTGGGTGGCTTGCATGGTGGTGGGGGTGGCAAGAGCAGCTCTACGAGGGTGCTGCAGAGGCACAGCCTGGGCTCCTTGCTAACCTAGCAGACCACTGCTAACAGTGCTTGCCTTCTGGACACTCACTGCTGGCTGGGAAGTGTCTTCGGTTATCACCTAAGAAACTCATCAGATAGGTGCTGTATGACCAGTATCGATTGTTGGATGAGGACATTAGCTTCAAAAGGCTAAATCTGTTTTGTAGGGTCACAAAGTAAGGGAGAGGTGTTCCTGGGAATTTCAACCTTCAGCTTCTAACTATTGTACACACTGCTTTCTGCACGACTGATTCAGATTTTGGAAAAGAAATGGACACAGCCAGTTTCACCTGCAATGAATATGCAGTGCCCTTTTGGGTGTTCTGTGGTTTTAGGTGGCTTAATTTGCTTTCTATTGTATGTTGTTCTGATGCTGAATGGGTTTAAGTGGAGTTTCTAGATTAAGGCAGACTAGGAAGAAAGGCCTAGGGATCTACTTTGAAAAATCAGCCAGTGAAAACCCTGTGGATCACAATAGTCCAATCCTGTTGCATTTGGGATTGCTGAGTCACACGACCAACTCTATGGCAGGCAGCAGTAACAGTCTACCTTCTGTGCTGTTGTTATTGTTAAGTGCTGTGGAATCGATTCCAGGGAGCAGCAGGTGGGTTTGAGCTGCTGACCTTGTGGTACAATCTAGTGCTTATCCTACAGCACTACACCCAGAGTCAGTATGTGTATAGCCTGTTAGGTGCTGTTGAGTTGGTATTGACACATAGCGACCTTATATACAACAGAACAAAACACTGCCAAGTCCCGTACTAACCTCACAATCACTGCTATACTTGAGCCCATTGCTGCTACCACTGTACTAATCCATCATTGTTGGGAGTCTTCTTTTTTGCTGACTCTCCATTTTACCTAGCATGATGTCCTTCTCCAGGGACTGGTAATATGTCCTGATAATATGTCCAAAGTACAAGAGACGATGTCTGGACATCCTGGCTTCTAAGGAGCATTCTGGCTGTACTTCTTCCAATACAGATCTGTTTGCTCTTTTGGCAGTCCATTGTACTTTTAATATTCTCCTCCAACACCATAATTCAAATGCATAAATTTTTCTACGGTCTTCTTTACTCATTGTTCAACTTTCACATGCATATGAGGTTATTGAAAATACCATGGTTTGGCTTAGGCGTGCCTTAGTTCATAGACCAGTTAATACAATTATTATCCAAATTTACCTACTAGCTACTAAAACCAGTGATGATTAAATTCTTCAGTATGAAATTGATCAAACGTACAGTCAAGATATATTGATAATTACTGGTGATTGGAATGCAAAGGTTGGAAACAAAGAGAAAGGGTCAGTCATTACAAAATATGGCCTTGATGATAGAAATGATGTTAGAGATTGCATGATAGAATTTTTCAAGACCAATGACTTGTTCATTGCAAATACCTTTTTTAAACAACATAAAAGATGACTATACACATGAATCTCACTAGATGGAATACATAGAAATAAAACTGACTACATCTGTGGAAAAAGATGGTGGAAAAGCTCCATATCATCAGCCAAAACAAGGCCAGGGACAGACAGTGGAACAGACCCACTTGCTCATATGCAAGTTCAGACTGAAGCTGAAGAAAATGAAAACAACTTGCCAAGAGCCAAAATATGACCTTGAATATGGTGGTGGTGGTAGTGTGCCGTGGAGTTGGTTCTGACTCATAGTGACCCTGTATAGGGTTTCCAAAGCTGTACATCTTTACGGGAGCAGAAAGCCTTATCTTTCTCCCATGGAACAGCTGGTAGTTTCCAATGCTGACCTTGCGGTTAGCAGCCAGACTTGTAACCACTGTGCTACCAGAGCTCCTTGACCTTGAATATATCCCACCTGAATTTAGAGATCATCTCACGAATAGATTTGATGCATTAGACACTAATGACTGAAGAACCGAGGAGTTGTGGAATGTGTAGTCTGTAGACAGTGACAAATGGAGAGTTCGGTCAACAGGGATCTATTTAGGGCTTAGTAGCTGTGGGTGGCTATGGGCTACTGAATTTACCACCATGTTGTTTCAGGGGCTGAGAAATGCCCTCTGGGGTAGGTGGACTTGGGTTCTGAACTGGTGGAGGAGAGGTATGGGGAGGGCCTCACTGTTTTCATTTGTTCAGAGTCATGGACCTGACCTTGTCTTACCTGATCCACAGGAGTGGACGATGCCGAGTCAGAATGTGGCCTGGACAACTTTGGGAGCTTTGACTGGGTCATTGAGAACCATGGAGATGAGCAGCGCCTGGAAGAACAGCTGGAGAACCTGATAGCATTTGTCCACTCCAGACTCTAATCATTAAGTTCTAAGGATGAGCCTAGGGTGGTAGGAATGGGCTGCTGCAGGACACGGGGTTACTGATGCTGAGAGGCCTGAGCACAGACTCTGGAGGATGCCAGGCAAGTCTGGGGCTCTCATTTCCTGTGAAGAAGTCAGCCTTGCCTATTCAGCAGGAGGCCTAGAGGGCAGAGGAGGGTGAACTGGCTGTGCTTGAAGGGAGTCAGACCTGCTGGGGCCTATGGTGACCTTGATGCTTCTCCTAGATGCTCTCAGCCCCTCATCTGGGGCAAGAGCCTGGGATTCCCCAGTGTGGATACTAATAAACCTCCTTGGAGCCTATGCCCAGAGCTGGATAGCTGTCTTTTTCCTGATGCCAGCTTGTCCTGTATGGGGTCCAGAAGGGATCTAGTGGCTGTGGGTCTCCTGCCTGGGCTGGAACGTGTTTGATAGAAGTTGACCTTTGTGTGTGGTGTGTGGACAGTTGTCAGCTGTATTTAAGGTCTAATTGGGGATTTCTCATTTTCTTAGTGCTGTTGTAACTGAAAATCTTCAAGTGGGTGGAGTTCATGAACAGAAGGATATTTTCTCACACTTTAGGAGGCTAGATGTCTTAAAGATCTCTCGTCTTTTTTGGTTTCTGGTCCTTGGTGATCTTTCTGTGGCATCTGTCTTTCCCATTTGGCTTTGCTTCTGTGCCCAATCTTCTCCTTTTATATCTCAAAAGTGATTGGCTCAAGACATACCCTAGGCTGCATACCCTATAATATGGCTTTATTAACATAATAAAGAACACCCTATTCTCAGAGGGGTTGCCATCCGTAAGGATAGGATGTAGGGTCTACAACACATATTTTTGGGTGACATAATTCAATCCACAACATCTTTGAGTATCTTGTTTTGTAGGATGGCCCCAAGAAAGGCTCAGCATTCCACCGGAAGCTCTGCCAACAAGCACCCAGAGGGAGTAACATAGAGATTGTATGATACAGTCATGATAGAAGGGTAGAGGCACTAGTGATGATGGTCTCCTAGTAACCACTGTGGAACCCTGGGCAAGTCACATCACCATTTTGAGTCTCAGTTTTCCTGAAGTGGGTTGTGGGCCAGACCCTTTTTATTTATACAGATTTTTACAAATTCTGGTGTCTCTGTCTGTGCAAGAGGTTAACAATCTTGGCTGTTAACCAAAAGGGTGGAGGTTTGAGTCCATCCAGAGTCTCCTTGGGAGAAATGCTTGGCGATCTACTTCTGAAAACTCATAGGCCATTGAAAACTCTATGGAATAGAGTTCTCCCATGAGCTACACGGGGTCGCCGTGAGTTGGAGTTGACTCAGTGGCAACAAGTTGGTTTGGTTATAAATGCTAAATTTCCACCAGATTTTTCATAGCCACCCTGTGGAATGGACAAAAAAGGCGTTTTTTTTTTTTTTTTGGTCTGCATTTTATAGATGCCAGGAACTCAGAGAAATGAAGCAATTTGCTTAAAGTTAGATGGTTAGTAAGTCTCAGCATTCAAAGTAAAACACAGGCTGCCTGACTCTGGAGCCAAAGCTCCTCCAAACACTGTCCTTTGGAGTCTGGTACTAGGCCCCATGATTAGGCCAAGCCTTAACACACCAAATCTCTGACCCTAGCTTCATTCTCCTCACACAAATTCTGTGTGCTCTCATGGCTAATGGGATAGCCAAAAAAAATGGCATCAGTTTTAATGTGATCCAATCTGAACTCTGCACATTCCTGGTGAAATCTCCTTTTCCTAGGTCAACTCTCCCCATGAGATTCTCCTGTTCTTCTAGTTACCCAGGGCTGACAGCTTGCTTTCCACTGTCTCCCCTGACTGCCTTGCCCAATTAGTCACCTCGTTCTGTTGATCCTGCTCCTTCAGGGTTCACACTGGAAGGTACACTCTTTACTTTTGGGGCCACATCTAGCCTGTACTGCATCCCCAGCTCCTAGAGGCATTTTGGCCCACAGTGAGCAGATGCCATTAGGTGCATGGTGAGACTGGACTGCAGAAGCCATCCTGGAATCAAGTAGGTGGTCATTTCATGCAATACATGTTCTCTCACCACAATCCAGAAGGTTCTGCCCCAGCTCCCAGGGCCTGGTACCGCCAGTCTCCTTAGCCAGACTTTTAGGCCTATCATTAATGGGTGTGCTCTGCCTCTTTGGCCGTCTGCTCCTGCTGCTCTCCTCCCATGTGGCTTACAGGTGAATACCCTTAGCAAGCCTCAGGCTTTCCCACTCCACTCCTGGGCTCATCCCCCTCCAACTCCTGCCTGTGCAACTCCACTGTGCCCTCAAACCCACTTAAATGCCACTTTCACTGTGGCATCAACCCTGATTCCCCTGCCCTATCCACCCACAAGCAAACTCTCTGAAGTCCCAAAGCCCTGACTGTCTCCTCAGCCTGGTCTCATAGTTGTATGTGTTCACCTGTCTGCGTGCTGGTCAAGGGGCTCCTATCTGACTCTGTGCTGCCCCAACGGACCTCAAATGCTACTTTGCTCATGCACTTTTGTGAAGGGAATGCTATATATATATATTTTTAATTTTAAAAAAAGAAGTGAGGTACATTTGTGTCCAAATAAGGGTTTTTCTGTCTGCAAGGGTAGGGCTGAGGGAGCAGGGCAAACAAGGCAATAGAGATTAGTGACAGAATGTGGGCTCTATAGCAAGGGACCTGAGCTCAAGTCCCAGCCCTCCCAGTTAAGTCATGGTCCCAGTTGGGTAAGTTATAATAATCTCTTTGACTTTGTGCATCTTTAAAATGAGAACAGTCACGTCGACCTGAGGAGGATGTGAAGATTGAGACCAGGGTGTAGAAACACCAGTATGGTGCTGGCAGGAAGAAGGCATGAAGGGAAAACTAGCTCTGGTGGGTTTGTTGCTATTACCTGCATCCATTTGCTCAAAATATCTTTGTTGGGACGCCCTTGAGGGGTCCCTGACTCAGGCCACGGTTGCATTAGTTGTCCCTGGGCTCTTGTAAACTCAGAGACCCTGAGACACTAAGAATCCAAAAGCGCACTGTCAGCAACTCTAAGGGGCTTCTTATGGGTTGTTGACAGCGACCTTTTTGGACCTCGAGTCTTCCCATTGGAGTCCTGGTGTGGCGCTGCAGGATAATGCACTGGACTGCAAGGTTGGTTTGAACCACAAGGTCGGCAGTTCAAACTTACCAGCTGCTCCTTGGAAACTCTATACAGGGTCACTATGAGTCAAAACTGACTCGACGGTATTTAACAACACAAGTCTTACCATTACCTTGGCCTCTGCTCTATCCTTATCCCAGGCTGGTATCAAAGAGTTTCTACACTCCTATTCAACAAACTTTGCCTAGTGACTTTGGTCATCTTTAAGAACCGCATCAAAGATTTGTCCCTCCAGAGTGAGTCCTGATGAGGAGTTTTAAGCAGTAGTGGCAGTGTCCCTGGACACTTATGCTGGGAGTATCAGGAAACCACAGCCTCCTTCCTGTAGGTCCCCACAGAGCTCTCTGCGGCACTGACTTCATGTTCCCTGGAACCTGGGAGTGCACCTCTGTGTCCTCTCGGGACTGAGAGCTCCTTTAGGAGCAGCCTGTGCCCAGCAAGGGCGGTTTCCACAGGAAATGTGTAACGATGATTGTTAATTGATTATCCAGTGCCCACTACAAATTAGACATCATACTAGGTACACCTCATGTACTCTCTGAAAGAATTTTCAGAATTGATGGGAAAAAAAAAAGTATTGACTAAACTTCAAGCTAGTTAGTTAACAGCAAAAATGGTAGTTTTTTTTTTTTTTTATAACAATGCTGTTATTATGCACCGTCAAGTCAGTTCCAAGTCATAATGCCCCACCAGAACTCCATTATAATGATACCTGAGATGTTTTCCCCGGTTACTATTTGCTGGGCCTTGTGCCTTTCATACAGAGGTAGACAGTTTTATCCTCACTTACCTGGCCAATGAATGGCTTGTGAGTCCTCTGTTGGTCACCCAGCACTATATGCAGAGCCAGCACTGGGGACTGGTCAGTCTGTCACCATAGCCTGAGCTGGGAAGCCCCATGGTTTATCACCTTTACCAAATAGATTGTCAATATAAGGGCAGTTCTGGTGAAAACTTGATGATTCCTCCTCAATTTTTTTTTTTT